TCTGAGAAAAAGAATACATTTAAAGTACATTTTTAGAGATTCACATTTCCTAGGTCAGGTAAGTGTAGCCTATTCCAGTTTTCTATTTCACAACACTTTTGTATGCATTTACATGTCCACTGGCATGCAATTGGTGCAAATAATTAACTGTTATCCCAGTGGAGACAGTCAATGTGGTGTATTGAAAAGACAGCTGGACCAAACCGGTTCTAATCCTGGCTCAGATACTACAAGACCAGAGGCAATTTGCTTACCTCTGAGAGCCTGTTTTCTTCTGTCAAATGGGCATACGTACCAGCAGATTTAGAGTTGAATAGGACCAATAGGTCATCAAGTCCAACCCTCTTCCTATACAGAAGAGGGAATGGAGATTGAGGGAGTCAGGCTCAAGATCACACAAGTAAGAGGTAGAGCCAGATTTGAACCCAGATTCCCTCCACTGCACCAAACTGGAAAACAATTTGGAGGTCACTAGTCCAACCCTTTCATTAGAGATGAAGAAACAGAGGTTCAGTTGAAAGCACTATAAAAATGAGTTATTATTACACAGAATGATTTTACTCCCCATCTGACTTTCCTGTCACTAAGCATGAACCCCTCTTCTCCAAATATGCAAAAGATAAATAAAATTTCATACCAGTCTAATTCATAATTAGAAAGGATAGATCCCTACCCCCTACCTTTCCCAACTCTCCCCAAAATAATAGAACCAAATGCCAACTGACTCTCTCTGGATCTCAGTTTTCACATTTGCATCATGAGAATATTGGATTCTACAGCTTCTAAGATCCCTTTCAGTGTTTAATCTATGACCTCATAACAGATTATAATCTAAAGTCAAATTGCAAAATAAAGAGAATTCTTGGGAATAATTGTCTTTCTTCCCTTAACTCCCACCATTGTGTGTGGCTGTGTGAATTATATTTTTTAAATACAGATTTTAAAGAACGAGGCATGGGAAGCAAAAACGCCAAAATTTAATCTAAAAAACAATTTCCTGAAAAGTAAATAGTTTTGCTTTTGATTTAATTTTAAAACACTGCCAATTTTAAAGTTACTGGATACTTTCATCCAAAGAGCAACTACTGTAACTGTGTTTTGTTTTACATATATATGCATATACTAATAACAGACATAAAGAATCTAAAGTTACCTTTCAGAACTAAGCTAAGACATGACTTCCTGGCTGTTATACTAGTGAGACACTCCCATCTATCAGCTCCAGGTATTTTCTCTGGCTGTATCCCAGGCCTGGAATGCTCTCCCTCCTCATCCTGGCTTCCTTTAAGTCCCAACTAAAATCCCACCTTCTAAAGGAAACCTTCCCTAACCCTTCTTAATTCCCTGTCCTTCCTTCTGTTAATTATCTCCTATTTATCCTGTATATAGCTTGCTTTGTATATATTTGTTTGCATGTTGTATCCCCCATTAGATTGTAAACTCTTTGAGGCCAGGGACTGTTTTTTGCCCCTTTTTTCTATCTCCAGTGCTTAGCACAATGTCTGATCCATAGTAGGCACTTAATAAATGTATATTGATTGGTCCCGTTTTGATCTTTACATAAACAAGTAATCCTGTAGGGGTAGGTAAGGGTCTTGTTATCCATCACTTTATAGATGAGACAATTCAGGTCAGGGAGGTTAAATGGTCATTCAGCTCCTAAATGTCAGAGCCAGGATCTGAAACCAAGACACCTGGATCTAAAGCTTTTAGGTTCTTTTTATTTCAGCAAAGCTGCCTCTCAGTCTTCCAGGAGGGTTAGCAATAGAGAACTTGCTTGTTACACATATGTAAATAAATTATACAAAACACATAACAGATTTAAGTAATTCAGTGTTTTCAAAGTATACAAACACCTTGCTTGATAAGGTAAAAGTCAAACACAGAAGAGGGACAGAAAAGTAAGGGAAAAAGGTGGAGTGGAAGGGCTGGGGCCTTTAGTAATCAGTTTATTTAGGATAGAACTGGAGATAACATCTTCAAATCATTCAAACTGCAGAGTCCAAAGCAGAGCCCTAGAAGAATCTGAATTACAAAAGGAGACCAAACTTTGAAAGTAGAGCAGCTTTTTATCAATCCTCTTCAGTAGCAGGAAAGCATTTATAAAGTCCACGTGAGCTACAAGGAAGTTGTACACCCCATATTTCTGACAAATTATACTTAGGAACTTGAGTAGTAAGTAGTAAGGCTCCCTAATTCTTCTTTTCACACAGATGCTGAGATGAGAGGAGATTGCAGAGCAGAGGCCTTGGTGGATGGAACCAGATCCTGGCAGGAATCCGGTGAACTGAAACCAACCCAGTAGGATTTTAAGAGCAAAAATAAAAAGTGGTGATGATGGCTGTATGCCTATTCCCCTCAAAATCAAAATTTGGCTTATGACAATTTATAAGGTGACTATAAAACAAGTGCTTGATTAGTCCTATGCTATTTCACTTTTCAAAAACACACTGTCTCTGTAACCCAAGCCATCATTATTTGAATATTATTGAAAATCTTTTCTTTCAAACTATTATTTCAGTTAACAACCCACAACTATCATTAAACCAGGAAATCAACAGAGATGCTGTTATTTCTATTGAAAATGAAAATTCCTTCAGAACAATATTAGCAATTTTCCAGTGAAATATTTGGTTCAGGATCATTTTGACAGGCAACTGGGCAAAATGCTGGTAAAGGAACCTCGAATCCAGGGCCAACAAAGCTTTCCTGGTTTCTGAATTTTGTTGTGAATCCCAAACTTGAGTATTATTAAAAGAGAAGTTTCCCAAGTTTCCTATATTCTCTCCTAATGAATCTTACAGTTTCAAGTAAGCTTCGATTGAGTTTGGAGTGAACCCTTTAACTAGCCTATGAAGTGTGATGAGGGATTTAAAAACCTTAGGTGGAAACTATATGGGGTTTCACCATTTCTCTTTAAAAATAGTCAAAGTTCCATGTTTTGCATCAAGTTTCATTTTTATAATTTTTAGAGTTGTAGTAAAATTTGACAAGCAAATTTAACCACTAGTAGGAAAGCAAATTCAACTGTATACTCTCATACTTTAAATGTCTGTCATTAAATGCCCACTAAAATTATGTCATTTTTGTCAAAAGTCCCTAAAAGTTAACCAAGTCCTTAAGCAAAAAGAATCTCTTCCCCCCCTCCACATGCCCATTCAATTTAAATGTTCATACCACTAAAGAAAATACTATTAGCTTTAGAAAGTAAAATGGGACCAAAATTTAGAAATATTACCGTTTCCTTGCCCTCTCCCATTCTTTCAACTACAGTATTACAAACTTTGGATATGGAATTCATCACATAAAAACTAATGATAGAGACATTGATTATAAAAGTGCTCCTCTCTCCAAACCCCATTTTAAAAAGTGTCCTGGGCAAAGTGATACTTAAGTATCAATTCAACATACACCTGCAATCTCAGTATTCAGGGAAAGAAAAAAAAATTAACACTTCTGATTATTAAAATGTTCACATGGCCTTTAAAAAAAAAAAACTTAAGAAAGCTCCTACACCATAATAGCTAACTAATGTCCAGAGATAGTTCAGGGAAGCACAAAACTTTAACAGCACTTGGATATAGCTATGGTTGTAAGTAGTGCGTTTTTGTGGCAACTGATTTTTCCAATCTCATTTTAAAATTCTAGCAGTGAAATCAACATTGTGTTGGAGTGGCTATGTCTCCAGTGTTCACCTACTAGTATATTCATTAAGTCACACAGGCAGACTGATCGCATGTTATCTAACAGGGAAGAAAGTAAGGGTAAATAAGAAGGAAAAAACTGGAAAAAAATTTAAAAATGTTCTACCCTGCCTCCTCCTCCTTCCCTTTATAAACCTCCAGTTTCATTTGCCTCTGTTATCTTTTACATTGTGAACTTTGTTAATAATTCAAAACTGGATTGTTTTAAGTTAAACTACAAAAATACTATCATATTTTCCCTTTTCTTGTTAGGTTGAGTTGCCTTAAGTTTTTTTTCTCATGCCAAGCTCAGCTTGATACCACCCCATGACCTTTCACCTTTCTGATCTGGCACCTGCAATTCTCAAATGTGCTTAGCACAATTGCCAGCACACTGGTATTTGTGGTCTGGATTGTAGCTATTTCAACATACTTGTGCCCACTAGTGAAAAGCTTCCTTCCCCCCCTTCCTTAAAATCATGTGAGTTTGGCTTTAAAAGAATACATTGTCGCTCTAATTTATTCTTCAAGAAAACAGTGATTCATAAAAATGCGAGTAAAAGTGGCTGGATTTTTATTTCGCATTGGTAATGTACTTCTTGAGGACAATACTTTCCTACCAAGTTGCTATGTCCTAGAAGCAAGGTCACATCCCAAAATGTCTCAGGAGGGTTGTCCAGAATAAAATACAGAAAATCAGTTCCCTTCAAAAAAAAATCTTCACTTTGATTTATTTTCATTGACCTGTCAGTTATCAGTTCATCTATAATAGTCTATGTTTGCTTTCTGTTTAAAGCAAAATAACCCATCTACTTGAAACTAAGGTGACCTCAGAGGTAAGTTAGTTGCTCCTGAGAATGGTCTGATTCGGAACTGGCAAATACTAACTCTAAAGTTATGCGTGTTCCCACAATCGCGGTTTAATTATCTAATTTTATTCACCTGTGTCTCTTGACATCCAATCAAGTCTTTTTCACGCATGAAAAAATTTGATTTCTTTCCTTGGAAACAATTCCTCATCACAGAAAAGTGATTTCTTTGCAGTGTGTAGGACTAGGACTTTCTGGTTTTCTAGAAGCTGACGCTTTTAAATGCTTTCCTAACAGTTTACTTCCTCCTAAGTGCTGATCCTCATGGGGGGGAGGGGGGTATAAGAAGGGGGGGGGAACGAGGAACCAAAAGAACCAAAAGAAAAGGGCTGGAAGGGGGGGGTGTTAGAAAACAAAAACCAAAAAACAAGAAAAGGAAAACAAGTAACATGAAAGAAAGCCAAATAATCTCCCCCCAAAACCTTCAAGAACAAAAACACCCACCTACCTGTATTAAGGGTTTGAAGTCAAATCACTTCAGAAGAACAGCATTCACAGCAAAGGGCAAAATAGTCGACTGGGAAGTAACCTACAGCGGCATCCTCCCTCCCTCCCTCCCTCTCTTTTTTCTAATGTAAAATCAAAATAAGGAGTGTCAGGCTACTCCTCCAGTGCCTGCTTAAAGCAACAGATCTTTTTCAGGATTAGCTCCCTGGCAAGCGAGTGCGGAAGTTTTTTGAGTCCCCTGGAATGCCGAAAACCTGCAGAAAGAAAGTCAGCAAGAAGCAGAAGCAGGGGAAGTTCATTCAGCCCCTTACTTTCCCCTGACCTAAGCCGCACATTCCAGTGTTAAACAGGAGCGCTAATCAGAAAAGGCAACTCTCTCAAACCAAATTCCTGCCCGGACACAAAACAGCAAAATCCACCTAATACATTCTCAGAGGCTCGGTTCCCTTCTGCCCACCAACTTGGGAAGCTGTGGGAACCCTCTGGAGCCCAGCCTAAAACCCGTGTATGCGAAGAGGGGAAAGTTCAGTGTCCCATCTCTGTCTTCTTTTCCCTGGCCCCACTCCCTCCCGCCCCCTTTTCTGGTTCTCTCGCTTCACAGTAGCAAGGTTGTCTCTTGTATACTCCCTTCCCTTAAAACTCACCAAACCAGATTTTTACTCCCTAACACCAGCAACTTCCCGTAAATCTGAACTGAAATTTTATCCTGTTCACTGAGCCGCTGCTGGCTGAAGGCCAGTGCAGCATTTCGGTTGTTTTAGGAGCGCAGATACCTTTGCTGAAGGTTGTCCTTCTTTAATAAATAAATAAATAAAAGAACTGGCTAGGATGGAAAGGCTGGGTCCGTAGGAGAAAGCTTAGGAATTTTGCAAAGTCTGCTCAGCACGCTTGACCTTGACAAACTTATACTCCCCCCCCCCCAGCACCCTTTAAGAATCAAACACACATCAAACTGGAATAATTGAAGCCTATTTACAGAAAAAAAATTTTAATAGAAATAACTGGTACTAGCTAATTACAAAAGCACCTGTCTCACCTGCTAACATTTTGTCCAACCACTCTCTTTCATTCTCTCTCATTCTCTCCCTTCCTCCCTCCCTCCCTCTCTCTCTCTTCTGAGAAACAAAACCAGAAGCATATTTGAGGAATAAGGAACCAGCTACTGAACAATCAGAGGTCAAATCCAACAGCAAGCCTCTCCCCCCTCAACACATCCAGCCCCTTAGAAAATAAATAATTTCAATTTCCATTCTAGCATGTGTCTGACAGAGGCACAGAAAACCAGAACCCTGACTCACCTGAGGCATAGCATGTCTTGAAACCATGCAGGAAGGTGCGTCACTGGGAGAAACCCATGACCTTTACCGATCCATTGTCAGCAGGGTATTGGTGGGGCTTACAGAAGTGGAGCTTCATTTTAATGGGTTTTGACCTAAAGTTACATCTGGTTTCTAGAAAGGGAACAAAAAACAGTCATCGAAATACAAGAGCCAAACCCTCTTAACCTTTCTCTCTGTTTTTCTGATCGGGTCAGGCTTTTGCCCCCACCCCCCACCATCCAAAAGAAACAATGAAACCAGACTATAAATAAGGTTCCCCCTTTTACATTACCTGTTTATTCAAAGGGTAAGGAGTCTGATGTGCTTAAACAACCATTAAGTCTGTTTATTGTCAATAGGATTAGCCAACAGGAACCTCTTTTGGTACTTGTGACCCGACAAGTTGGAAGACGAAGCAGGCAACATCAGAAACCTAAAAAAGAATCCTGATTTCTGGTTACAAAGTCATGTAACTGAAAGAATTATAGTTGCTTTTTTTTTAAACTTGAAAGGGGGTAAATTACCCTTCAGTAAAAGATAATTTCAATAATTTGCTAAAGGGAAGGGAGAGTAATAGAAAGATCTTAAGATCACAGCTTTAGACCAAGAAGCAGCCTAGGGAATCGTCTAGCCCAATCCCCTTGTTTTACAAAAGAAACAGAGGCCCTGAGGGAAACAGTCAGACTGCCAGTCAATAAACATTTACTAAACTGCTACTAGGTGCTAGGCACTATGCAAAGCCCTAGAGATACAAAGAAAGGCAAAAAGCAGACCCTGCTCTTTAGGAGCTCACAATCTAATGGAGGAGATACCAACAAAGAAATATTCACAAACAAATTTTATCTAGGATAAATTAGAAATGCTCAACAGAGGAATGCACTAGAATTAAGAAAGATCAGGAAAGCTTTCTGACAGAAGGTGGGATTTTAGATGAGACTTGAAGGGAAACTTGGAGGCTGATAGGGACTGAGAGCATTCCAGGCTTGAGGTATAGCTGGTGCAAATGCCAGGAGCCAAGAGATTGATTGTTGTTTGCTGAACTGCAAGGAGGCCAGTGTCACTGAGTCAAAAGTAGAGTGACTTGCCCAATGTCATTGGGGTTGTAAACATTCTGGCAGGGATTTAAACCACAGTCCTATCACTGTGAATCCAGTATTCTTTACTATGCACCACCCTTCTTTGTCTTGCTTCTGGCAACTACCTGTGTGACCTTGGGTGTTTACTCTCTCTGGTCCCCAGTTTCCTCATCAGTAAAACGAGGGGACTGAACTAGATCCCATTTATACCTTCCACAATAGAATGTAAGCTGCTTGCTATTAGAGATTTTTTCATTCTTTGTATCCCACCGCCTACCCGCCATCCCTAGCACAAAGTAGGTGCATAATAATTGCTTGTTGATGGATTTACTCTACAATTCTAATCATTCAACCTGTCACTTTACCAGTTATAAAGAGTTTGAATGTGATTGTAAGGAAAGCCCTATTGACTGACTCCTCCTCTTAAAATTAAAAAAAAACAACACTAAGCATCCTATTTTAAATTCATAAACTTTTGTTTGGGACACAAAAACTGAGGAAAATAAATAAATAAGAATTTATTAAGCACCAACAATGTTCTAGGCACTGTGCAGTCTTTGGGGATACAAAGACAGAAATGAAAGCACCTCTGTCCTCAGGGATCTGGGGTGGAGGAGAGGACATATGTACATAGTACATATATAGGTAGAGGACCGTGCTGGAACCAGCTCTAAGCAACAGAGGCGCTGCGGCCCAGCTCCCCTCCTCCTCCTCGCCACTAAATTTTCAATGTGATTCAATGTGAGCATTTATACTTCAGAAATCCTGGCTACAAATCCGAGCTTGATTTATTGTTTTGTTGATTGTCTAGACTTACAAAAGTGTTAATAATGCAAATTAAACTTAAAAGTATGTGTATACAACCTGTAATCAATCAATAAACATCTATTAAGTGCCTACTAAGCGGCAGACTTGGAGCTAAGCTCTTGGGATACAGAAAGAGACAAAAAGCAATTTCTGCCCTGAAGGAATTTTCAAAACAATTTACAAAAAGCAACCTTTAAACAAATATACACACATAAACTATATGCAGGATAAATAGGAAATAATTTAGTTGGGATTTAAAAGAAGCCAAGAAAATCAGTAGGCAGAGTTGTGGAGGGACAGCATCCCAGGTAGAGAGAACAGCCAAAGAAAATGTCCAAAGCCAAGAGATGGAGTGTCTTGTTTGAGGGAACAGCCAGAAGGCTGGTGTCACTGGATCAAAAAGAACATGGCAGGGAGCATGATATGAGAAGACTGGAAGGGTAAAGGAGGGGTAGCTTATGACAGGCTTTACTAGACAGAGGACTTGTATTGATCCCGAAGGCAATAGGGAGCCACTGGAGTCTATTGAATAGGGAGGACATATTCAGACCTGCATTTTAGGAAAATCTCTTTAGTGGCTGAACGGAGAATGGACTGGAAAGGGCGGAGACATGAGGCAGGCAGATCTACCAGCAGCCTATTGCAATAGTCTGGTTGTGAAGTGATGAAAGCCTGCCTAGAAAGGTAGTAGTGGCAGAGAAGAGAAGGAGTCACATTCAGGAGATATTACAAAAGTGAAGCCAAACTTTGACATTGCAGACAGGGAAGACATAGAAAGAAGAGTCCAGGATAACACCTAGGATGTGAGCCTGACAGAGTGAGAAGATGGTGATGTTCTCTCCAGTAACAGGGAAGCTAGTAGGGGTGGAGGGAGGGTTTAGTAGGAAAGATAATAAGTTTTGTTCTGGACATGTTGAGTTTAAGATCCCTACTGGACATCCACTTCAAGATATCTGAAAGGTAGATGGAGATGCCAGATTTGAGGTCAGCAGTGAGCTTGGACAGGATAGGTAGATGTGAAAATCATCATAGAAATAGTCATTAAATCCATGAAAGCTGATGAGATCACCAAGTGAAGTAGTATAGAAGAAGAGAAGAGGGTCCAGGACAGAACCCTGAGGGACATGTATGGTTACAGGGTGTGATCTGGATCAGGATCCAGCAAAAAAGACTGAGAAGGAGCAATCATACAGGGATAATCCCAAAAACCAAGAGGGAAGAGAATAGCAAGTTGATCAGCAGTGGCAAAGGCTGCATAGATATCAAGGAGAGTGAGGATTGAGGAAAGGCCATTGGATTTGACAACTAAGGGATCACTGATAACTTTGGAGAGAGCAGTTTTGGTAGAATGATAAGGTTGGAAGCTGGATTGTAAGGGGTTAAGAAGAGAATGAGAAGAGAGAAAATTGGAGTAGCTATTGTAGATGGCTTTCTAAGTAGTTTAACTATGAAAAGCAGAAGAGAAATAGGATAATATAGCAGGGATGGAAGGAGGGTTTTGTTTTGTTTTGTTTTGTTTTGTTTTCAGGATGAAAGAGAGACATCAGCAAGTTTGTAGGCAGTACTGAATGAGCCAGTAGACAGGGAGAGATTGAAGGTAAGTGATAAAGTGGGGATAACAAATAGGGCAATCTGTTGGAGGAGAGGGGATGGAATAGGAACACTTGAAGAGGTAGAAGGAGTTAGCCTTAGTAAGGACAAAGGCCACCTGATCATGTGAGACAGGGGTAAAAGAGAAAATAGTGGTGAAGGCATCCAAATGATAGATGAAGAAGGAGCTCACAGTGATACATTTACCAGTACCTCCACCTCTGTATTGTTCTATAAACATTGCTTAAACTCAGTAGGAGTGCAGTATAAGGTTCAAGGAAGTCTATAGTCTGA